CCTTAGGCCCAGTGTGGTCATCCGCGGGCTGACAGGCGCCCACCTCTGACGCTCCTCTGTCCCTGGGGCCACGTGTAGCAGCAGCTCCTTGTCTGCCTGGTGCAGCCACTCAGCTTGCAGTGGGCTCAGGGACCCGTCTGCTTTTCAGTGACTCCAAGAAGATGCCCGTTTGACAACATCGTTAGTGTGCTACAGAGAGCCAGGGTGTGCATGCATACACATGTGCAAATGCACAAGAACATACAACACGCGCCCCACACACGCTCCACACCCTTACACAGGGGCCCCACGCTGAGAGGCCCAGGCTAGGGCATAGCCGTGCACACTCCCCAAAGACACAGACAGGCACACACACCAGGTGCTTACACCGACATAGCTGTGCACGCCTGCCCCAGACACAGCACCCAGCACCCTCCGTGCGAGGGACTCGGGGTGAGCTCAGTGTGTTCTGGGAGTGGGGCAGGCACAGGGGAGACACGCAGAGGGCCAGAGCAGGATGGAGGTGGTGCCCACGGCCAGGAGAGGGGGACACCTGGTCTGGGTGCTGAGAAGGGGAGGTGGGAGCAAGTGGCAGCTGTGCTGGCCCACTTCCCGGCGAGCAGGCGTCCAGGGCCTTGTGGGCAGGGCAGCAGCCATGGACCGCAGCTATGTGCAGGAGCTCAACTGTGCTCCAAGAGAGCTGCTTCAGAAGCAGGTGCTGTGCATCAGCGCAGGAGGGCCAGACGCTGCCACCCTCGCAGTCCACGCAAAGGTGGGACTGGGGCGGGACTGCCTTGGTCAGGTTTGTGTCTTTGGGAAAAGCTTGGGGTCCTGGCCAACTCCTGGATGGAGCCTGGGTGCTGGGGACCAGAGACTGACTGCAGATAGCCCTGTCCAGTTCCAGACTGGCACTTGCATCTAGACCCGGTAACCATGGAGATCACGGAGGCCTCTGGGTCCCTTATCTGCCAAATGGGATGGGGCCAGAGGCTACTGAGGGAGTCCCAGGTCATAGGAATAGTGGGCTCCATGCCAGGGATGGGGCAGCTGCCCTGGAGAGTGGGCCTAGGGAAGCTGTGTCCATGGGCGGGGCAGGTCTGAGAGGACATCCCCACAGGAAGAGCCTGTCATCCAGGGAGGGTGCATTCACTGCAAGGCATGTCCACAGGGAGGCGTGCCCACAGGGAGGGTGGGCTGCAGGGGGTGTGCCTGTGGGGTGTGTCTGCAGGGAGGGTGTGCCTAGGGGTGTGTGTTGCAGAGAGGGTGAGCTCGCAGGGAGGGTGTGTCTGCAGGAAGAGTGAGTCTCAGGGAGGTGTGCCTTGGGGGGGGGCGTCTGCAGGGAGGGCATGCCCACAGGGAGGCATTCTTGTGAGCATGTCTGCAGGGAGTCCTGCCTGGGAGGGCGTCTGCTGGGGGGCGTGCCTGTGTCCACTGAGAGGCCTGCCTGGGGTGTGTGTGTCTGGGGGGGGGGGGGGGGCTTGGGGGGTTTGGGTCGGTGGTGGCCTACAGGGAGGCATGCCTGGGGTGTGTGTCTGCAGGGAGGGCGTGCCTACAGGGAGGCGTTCTTGTGAGCTGTGTCTGCTGGGAGGGCGTGTCTGCAGGGAGTCCTGCCTGGGAAGGTGTCTGCAGGGGGGTGTGCCTGCTAGGAGGCCTGCCTGGGGTGTGTGTCTGCGGGGAGGGTGTGCCTGCTGGGAGGCGTGCCTGGGGTGTGTGTCTGCAGGGAGGGTGTGCCTGTGTCTGCGGGGAGGATGTGCCTGCTGGGAGGCGTGCCTGGGGTGTGGGAGGTGTTCTTGCGGGGCTGTGTCTGCAGGGGGGTGTGCCCGCAAGGAAGAGTGCCTGGTGTGTGTGTGTGCAGGGGGTGTGCCCAGAGGGAGGGGTGACTGGGCCCTCCTGGGACTGCCGTTCTCAAGCCCTGGTGTGTCCCGTCTCCCCAGGATCCCCCTTTGCCCGCGCCAGCCTCAAGAGTGGGAAGACCGACAGCTCGTCCTACTTCCGGAGGAAGGAGAAGATGTTCCGGTTCTTCATCCGGCGCCTGGTGAAGGCGCAGAGCTTCTACTGGGCAGTGCTGTGCGTGGTGGCCCTGAACACGCTGTGCGTGGCGGTGGTGCACCACAACCAGCCGCAGCGGCTCACCACGGCCCTGTGTAGGTGGCTCCCTCCCCGCTGCCCTGCGCGGTGGCATGGAGCCTGGGTGGGAACCTGTGCCACCCAGAGGGCTGGCGGCCTGGCCCGGGGGCCTCTGCTCAGTGGCCTTGCTGCCCCAGGCCCTGGAACCTGGGCGGCTGCTCTGGCTGGTGGCCTCTGCCGGCTGCGGTGCTGTGAGCCGAGGGCAGGGAGTGGACTGAGAGGGGACAAGCCAGGCGGGGTGGCCATGTCTCCTGAGGACCTCACGCAGGACAGGGGCTTGGCACTGGTCCCCACACTGATACTCCTGCCCAGGGCCCCTAAGGAGTTTTGACTTTAGTACTTCCTAAGGGATTTCTTGGCTGTTTTTGTTTTTCTTTATAATGGGTTGTATCTAAATGTGCTTGTGACCATCTGACCAGAACTGACTTCCAGCCCCATCTGGACACTACAGAAGGGGCCCTGGGCACCCAAGTGGTGGTGATAGTTCAGGAGGGACAGCCGGGAAGAGGACAGGGTGTTAGGGCACTTCGTACCCGCCTCAGCGTCAGGGCTGCCAGCCCTTCATGCTCCAGGGCAGGTGGGACCTGCGTCTCAGGTCATAGGGTGAAATCAAAGGACCCAGGGGTGCCCTCCATCTGTGCGCAGTGCTGGCCTGCTGCTCCCTGGTTCAGCCAACTCACTGCTCCAGGGGCCAGGGCCTGTGGGCTCCCACAGGGTGTTGCTTCATGAGGCCTCATGGAGAACCCTTTGTGACCAGAGAAAGAGCCACCCAGGCTCCCGCTTCTGGCCTGGCTGTGTTCCACTGTGATCTGACCACCCTCGGGCTTCAGCAGGCTGGCCACTCTGAACCCACCACGGCTCCCGGGCACCCTGCCTGTGTCCTTGCGCACCTCTGAGCACCCGTGTACCTCGAGTACCCCTGTGTGTGCAGCGTGCTGTTGGGCATCCCGCGTCCACCCTGAGCACTGCCACGTGTCCCCCCCGTGTACCCGTGTGTACCTGTGAGCACTGCTGCGCGTACCCCCCCCGTGTACCCATGAGCACTGCTGCGTGTCTCCCTGTGTACCTGTGAGCACCGCTGCGTGTACTCCCATGTACCCATGAACACTGCTGCGTGTCTCCCTGTGTACCTGTGTGTACCCGTGAGCACTGCTGTGTGTCTCCCCGTGTACCCATGAGCACTGCTGTGTGTCTCCCCATGTACCCGTGTGTACCCATGAGCACTGCTGTGTGTACCCCCGTGTGTACCCTGAGCACTGCTGCATGTCTCCCTGTGTACCCATGTGTTCCCCCGTGTGTACCCTGAGCACTGCTGCGTGTCCCCCTGTGTACCCGTGAGCACTGCTGCATGTTCCCCTGTGTGTGCCCCTGAGCATCCTGAGTCTACCAGGAGCACTACTACGTGTATCTGTGTACCCGTGTGTACCCTGAGCACCGCTGCATGTACCACCGTGTGTACCCATGAGCACTGCTGCATGTACCCCTATGTGTGCTCTGTACACCCCGAGTCCACCCTGAGCACTGCTCCATGTACTCTGTGTGTACCTGAGCACTGCTCCATGTACCCCGTGTGTACCTGAGCACTGCTGCGTGTACCCCTGCGTGTGCCCCTGAGCACTCCGAGTCCACCCCGAGCACTGCTGAATGCCCTGCCCTTCCCGCTGAGCTCTACAGAGCCCGGCCCACATTGTCTTGAGGGCCCATGGCTCTCTTGAGTATGCACTCTGACACTCCATACAGGAGAGTGGGCTTGCATGTTGGGTGGGATTCTTGTCCACGGTGTCCTGGGCATTTGTATCGAAGCCCGTTCACCTGTGAGGTGGGGAAGGAGGAGCGGCGGCAGAAGCGAGGGACCCAGGGGCTTCCTGCAAACAGCCTGCTGTGGCTCCCAGGGAGGGAGGTGGGTGGGTGTGGTCGACCTTGCCCTAGGCCTGTGTCCTGGGACTGCCTCAGGCTGAGGGCTGGGTGGGGATGGGCTTCGCTTGTCCATGAGAGAAACAAGCCTGTCTCCCAGAACCCTATGCCATGGCCTGTCGGATGCCTGCTCTATGAGAACCAGGGCTGGAGGTGCGTGCGTTGGGCCAGGCTGCCCCCAGCTACTCTGTCTTCTGTGGTTTCTGGGAGGTCCCAGAACCATGGGCACCGCAGGAGAAAAACGCTGGAGGGAAAGGTGGGCGTTTGCTGGGCCTAGACCTCTGCTCCATGCGGGGCCTGACCACTTGCAGTGCCTTCTGTTATGCATCCCCCCAGGCTCCCTGCATGCGTGCCATGCGTACCCATGCCCACGTGCCTGGCAAGTTTCCAAGCCACTGGGCCTGAACCCTGATCAGCCATGCGAGCCAACTCCCTCTGCCTGGGACTGAGCTGGCCACGCCGCTCTGGCCACCTGTCTCTGCTCCCATGGGCTGTGGGCCCTGCCCCGGGCCAGCCCGAGCAGCTGTGCCCGCTGGTTGAGCACTGACGCAGGACCAAGCGCTTGGGTGTGTTCTGTGCGAGTGTTTTCTTGGGTGGAATGTCGGGGGTGGGGTTCAGATTCCTTTCTCAGAAGGGCATCACCCTGGCAGTTCTTGTACTCATCCTTATGAAGTCTCGCTTTTGCCTTCAAGCCAAGGCGAGTGAGTGCCTGATAGCTGCGCCGCTGGTCCTGGTGTGGGTGGCTGGCAGCCTGGGCTCTGACCTGGGGCAGCCCGAGGCACGGCCTTGGTGAGGAGCTTGGAGTCTCAAGTCCATAGTCATTGGAGCCAGCTGTGGCCTTCCTAGGCCCCAGGGGACCTGGCAGTTCTACCTGGGGCAGGTCCTTTTCTGAATGGGTCCTACCTAACGGTCAGTGGGTGTCCACGCCTCCAACCTTTGCTGCGAGGTCCTTCCAGGGAGCCTGCTTGAGCCTCTAGTTACAACCCCTCCTTGGCACGGCGCCTGCTCTTCTGACTGGCATGAGGGCCGAGTTGCCCCAGGAGCTGTTTGCTTATGTACTCTGGCCATGAAGGGTGTCCCTTCCCAAGACCCTGTGTCTGCCTGTGTGGTGCTGCTTCTCTGCTCGTCCAGGGCCTGGGCTGCTGTGGACCTGGTGGACGGCTGTGGGCGAGGGTGGATCCCAGGGGGCAGAGGACAGGAGAAGGAGTGTGGCCCCCTTGCGTCCCGCTCCTGGTCCCAGTCCCTACTGAGACCTGGGGTCCAGAGCCCTGGGAGGCTGGGCTGGGGTCTGCCAGTGACTAGGTTTGTGGGGCTGGGCCTCCCCCCATGGCCTTGCTCCTGCTGCTGGTCCGAGGCCACAGCCCCTGGGCCTCCTATGCGGTTTGGTGTGCGGAAGCAGGGCGGGCAGTGCCCCGCGTGTCTGTGCCTGCATGTGGGCTCAAGTTGCTGCGGTCACTGCAGCCCTGTCCCGCCTCCCCCCAGCCCTCTGCCTGCTGAGGCAAGGTTGTTCCCCTGGCCCAGGCCTCCCTCCACCCGAGGCTCTGGGCCAGCGGTGAGACCCGTGTGCAGGGCAGGCCCTGCGAGGGGCCCACAGGAGCCTCTGCGACCCATGGCAGGGGCAGGCCGAGCCCTGGGAACTCGAGTGCTGGGTCTTGGGTGGGCCTAGGGGGCCATGGCTGAGGCGCCTCCAGTTCTACAGGGAAAGCCAGTGTGGCGCTGGGGCCCCCAGAGGGAGATTCTGACCAGAACAGGGGTAGGGCAGAGACCCAGCGCGAGGCCTGTGCGGGCTGTAATCGACCTCGGGCCTCGTGACCCACTCCTGCTCCACCGCTTCACTGTGCCCCACCTTCCAAGCAGGTAGCCATCGTGTCCCCTCAGCTTGTCGCCTGTCCTGGGCAGAGGTTTCAGAGCGTGAGGGGTGCAGACCAGCCTGGGGCTTGGCCTGGGCAGGCCCTGAGTCTGTGCCCCCATCTGAGCAGCAGCTGGAGGCTGCCCCGAGCTCACCCCTTCTTCTCTGGCTTCCTCTAGACTTCGCTGAGTTTGTGTTCCTGGGCCTCTTCCTCACCGAGATGTCCCTGAAGATGTACGGCCTGGGGCCCCGGAGCTACTTCCGGTCCTCCTTCAACTGCTTTGACTGTGGGGTGAGTGGGGCCTGGGGTCCAGCGGGCCTGAGTGTGCACAGCCCCTGCCCACACACCCCGCCCAGCCCAGGCCCCCAGAAGCAGGGAGCTTCAAGGCCGTGGGGCCAGTCGGGCTGACAGGGCTGCGTGGCCGCTCCGCTGTGGGGCGTGCTCCCACCTCCGACCCCGAGTCAGCCTCTCCAGACCATCTGAAGGCCTTGCAGCCCCCCGTGGCCGCCTCATCTGGGAGCGCCTCGTCTGTGCCCAGGGGAGTGCAGGTGGGCCGTGGCCCTGGGGAGGCCTGGGCTGACACAGTCCCTGGAGGGCTGATAGGCTGTGACGGACGCCTCGCCTTTCAGCAACCTGCAGGTCAGGGAGTCTCAGGCACTTTGTAGCCCCTCGGAGAGCAGGCCGGCGCCCAGGGCGGGCAGTGCAGGCTTCCTCCCAGACCTAGCAGCACATGCATGGCCCTTCTCAGCTGAGCTGGGGCCTGGGATATGCACTGCTGGTGTCTGAGTGACCGGTGGAGGTGCTGTCCAGGGCTCTGAGCTCTGCAGAGTGAGCTGGGCTAGGGAGGGCCGCCGAGGCAAAGCTCGGCTGAGAAGCCAGCCTGCCTTGGGCTTCTCTGACTGCACCTTCTGTGCAGTCGGAGCACCTCGGTGTCCTCAGTTCTGTGTGGTCTGTGACTCTCATGTCACAGACAAGTCGCCGGGCCATCTCGGATGGTCTAAGGCTGCCAGCTGGCCTGCGGGTCAGCAGTTGATGTTAGGGTAGTGATTCTGAACCCTGCAGGACAGGCATGGTTGGCCGGCGTTCTCTGTGGCATGGACACTAGTGGTTTTACTAGGTGGCTGAGAGAAGACCAGCTCTCTGTATCTTTGCCACCTTGGTCCCAGAAAAGCCTAACCGTAACCCTAACCCGTGCAGAGGGGAAGTGGTGAAGGGTCACTGTCTCTAGCCCCGCCCTCTGCCCTTTCTGAGCCTTCTCTCAGACCGGATGGCCTTCTCAGATCCGTCCAGGGAACAGCTGGGAGGGGGTCTTGCCCTTGCTGAGAAGTCCCCTGTCCACAGTGCCAGGGTGACTCTCAGGAAAACAGACAGGCTAGACGTGGCACCGTCTCTCCTTGGTGGCGTGTGCTGGCTCTTGGTCGTGAAAGGTTTGTGGACCTGGTGTTGTGGAGCAGTGGCAAGCTGGCCACAGGAAGCAGAGTGTGATTAAGCCCAGGTGAGGCCTTAGACAAGGTGGCTCAGGAAACCAGCAGGCCTAGCTCAGTGCTGTGTCTGGAGCAGGAGAGGGGCAGAGGACAAGGCCAGGCCCCCAGGACTGCAGCCTCCCTGGGTGTGCTCAGCGCAAGGGCCGTGCCTGAGCTACAGGCAGGGCAGGTGGGCACCTGCGGGGAGAAGCAACCTTGCTGGTGCCCACAGGGTGGTGCCCATGTTCATTGATGGCACGTGTGTGCACACCTGTGCAGGACACTTGCCCGAGGCTGAGGCATCCCTGTTGCAGGTCATCGTGGGGAGCATCTTTGAGGTGGTCTGGGCTGCCATCAAGCCGGGGACCTCCTTTGGGATCAGTGTGCTCCGGGCGCTCCGCCTGCTGAGGATCTTCAAAGTCACCAAGTATGTTATCCGCGCTCCTGTGCTGGGGAGACCGGGCGGGGCCGGCGTGCAGTCAGCTTGTTCCCAGGAGCTCGTGGGGTCCGGAGGCCCTTTGTGGCTTATAACTGGCCTGAGTACATGTGGTCACGGGGCAGCTCTCGCCTGGCGTCATCCACAATTTTATGCCAATCCCCTCTTAACTCCCAATCTCATCTTCCCTGCAGCCCAGCTCCCTGCATTACAGCCAGCAGAGAACGCAGAAGTAATTAGGCCCTGCCCTGAGTCTGTCCACCTGCCCTGTAGCCCTGCCCTGGGGGGGAAGGAGGCCGCATCCCATGAGGCCGTGACCTGACCGGACCTGAGTCAGCCTGGCCCTACCAGGCCCCCGCCTGGCCTGCATCCTCCACTCTCACGGCCAGGCCCTGGTGGTGATGACAGAGACAAGACCATGTTTTCAGTTGTGTCTCAGACCCTGACTCCAGATGGACTAAACTCCAGTACTCTTTAAAGTCAGTCTCCAGACCGTTCGCAGGCACCAGGGTGCCAGCATGGAGGAGGCATGGAGGGCTGCTCTGAGCACGGCCACTTGGTGGGCAGTGGCCATGTTCTGCTGAGGAGAGTCACACAGAGCAGGTTTGGAGCATGAGGGTGGACACGTTTCTGCTGTCCCCATGGGGTCCCAGGCAGAAAAGGCCAAGGCAAAATGTGTCAGTTTCACATCACAGTGTGGCCCTCAGGGTTCAGGAGGCTTCGAAGCCATAGCTTATCTGACAGAGCCTGGGTGGCGTGAGGTCGGTGTCCCCGCCAGCGTGGCCCACGGTGCCACCACACCTGGCCTGGCCCGCAGGTACTGGAACTCTCTGCGGAACCTGGTGGTGTCTCTGCTCAACTCCATGAAGTCCATCATCAGCCTCCTCTTCCTGCTCTTCCTGTTCATTGTGGTCTTCGCTCTGCTGGGCATGCAGCTGTTCGGGGGCCAGTAAGTGGCTGGAGGAGGGTCAAGGCCGGGGCTCCTGAGGGCGGCTCTGTCCAAGCCTGTCTTGACCCCCCCCTCCCGAAGGTCCTCAGCGGGCTGGTGAGACCAGAAGGCAGCCCCCGCGGGCCGTATGCACATGTGGGGCGGGGTGCCGGATCCCTGTGCTCCTGCCGGGGCTGGCCCTGTGCAGGAATTCCTGTCCTCCTCAGGTTCAACTTTCAAGATGAGACTCCAACTACCAACTTTGACACCTTCCCCGCCGCCATCCTCACCGTCTTCCAGGTAGGCCTGGCTGCGCGTGGCACTCAGTGCTCCTCCGCCCGGTGTGTGTGGGTGTGAGTCAGCCTCCCGGTTTCCCACCCCCCATTCCTCACTCTCCCAGTGGCTGAATTCCCCACAGAACCTCCCCCAAGGCCAGAGATAGCAAGGAGGGTCTCCAGTCCTGGCCCAGCCTGGCTGGAGAGGGAAGCTGGGAGCTGCGATGGGGCCCAAGGAGCACGCAACTGCCTAGGACGAGCTGCCTGGGAGCCCCGGCTTTAGACCACCTGCTTATCCCTTGATTCTCAGACATGGAGAATCAAAGACATGTCTTTGATCTTTGGGAAAAAACCTGAAGCCCTCTCTGAACTTCTCTCCCGTGTCTCAGGCCCTGGTGGCCCTCCACCCTCTCTTGTATCTGGAGGACATGCCTGCCACGGCTCCTTGGAAAGCCACAGCTGTGCCTGCTTCTTGTGATTGGGCCTGTGGGTGCAGGAGGCTCTGCCCTCTGGGGGTCCCCTCTTCAGGACTCATTCGGTCGGGCCCTCTCCCTGTCATAGGGCCCTGGCCCTACAAGGTCTGCCCGTGAACAGCCTCCCTGATGGAGCAGGCATCCTGTCCGTGGGGCCTACATGGACACCACATGCAGATAAGCTGACTGGGCTGGGCTGGCAAAGGCCCGTGACTGCTGGGCCAGGGCCGGGGCTCAGCATGTCCTCCGTGCTGCTGGTGCTGGAGCCCACGTGTGAGGGGAGGAGAGTTCGGCTGCAGACCACTCGCGCCGTGCTGGCTGGGGGCCCCACAGCCCCTCAGCTCCTGCCCTGGGCCTTTCAGGCCTCGTGGTTTCTCATCCCTCCTTCCTCTTTGATCCAACCTCATGTCACTCTGGCTCCCTCCAGTTCTCCAGAGCAGGACTCGCCAGCCCGCTGTCCACCCTGCTCTTACCGATCACTGGACATTTGGTTTGTTCGCAGGCCGTGCCCTCCCAAACTGGCGGTTTGGATGCGTTTGAGCACTCAGTAGGTGGCGGACTGTAGATGAATAGTGCTGGAGCCAGGGGCCTGAAGCAGCCAGGTGCTGCACGTGGTGGGGAGAGGCCTGTGGGTGTCACAGCACATGTGGCTCAGCCTGCTCTGGACCTGGAAAGGAGAGGCCTTGGCTCTGCTAAGGAGCTGATGCAAGCTGAGGGCCGCTGGACTGGAGGAGGCCGAGAGGCGCCATGGCAGCACCAGTGCAGACGGTGGCCAGGCCAGACCCAGTTCCCACAGGCTGAGAACCCGGCATGGGGGTTTCTGCCTCTGCTTGGGTCTGGGCACGGGGTAGGAGGCCGGTGAGGAGGGAGGGGCTCATGGCGAATCTCAGAGGGTCGAGACCACCCCCGGGGCAGACACAGGTGACATGGAGCTGTTTGTGCTACAATGCTCAGAGTGGGGAGGGAGAGCCCGTAAACGTACCCCTGTGGGAAAGTTTTAGAACTAAGGATGAAGAATAGGTGGGCTTGAAGAATAGCTCAGTAGAAACCCTCCAGATGAAAAACACAGCTACTCAAGTTTCAAAAACGAAGGGTGGACTATACCAGGTGTGACCCGGGAGGGGCAGAGCCAGCTCCAGCATGGAGACAAGTCATGCAGTGAGGAGCCGGGCCAGCACAGGCGGGAGACGCAGCGTCCAGCCGAGCAGGAGGGCGGCTGGTTCCCTCCCAGGGGTGCTGTGGTGGAGCACACAGGGCCACCAGCACGAGCAGAGGTCTCCTGGACCTGGACACCCTGCGGTAAGGAGAAAGTCTAAATGCTGCCCAAGAAAGATGATTGCTACTGAAGACCGGCCAAGACTTCTGAGCAGCGGCTGCCGGAGGCCCTGGGAGTGACCGAGGCGTCAGCCTAGAAGCCCGAGCCCAGAGAGCTATGACTAAGCACACGTGTGGGCTGCAGCCACACCAGTCACACAGCAGGGGGTTACCGGCCCGGATGGCTGCTGCAAGCCTGTCGGTTGGGGACAGTCTGTGAAGCGCATGACTGAGAGGTTACGCCATTGGTTGTCCCATTAACCCAGAAGAGATAGGAACCCTGGCCCGTTTCAGAGACTGAATGATTGGAAGTCTCCCTCCTGGGACCAGCAGATGGTGTAATGGCTATGTATCTGGACTCCCACGTAGTCCCAGACCCGGTGGCTTAAAACTCACGCTGAGCATGTGTGTGGCGTGCCCAAAATCCGGAGAGGAGAATGGAGGAGAAGGGATTGTGGCATGGCCGTTCCCCCAAGGAGTCTGTCTCTCCGGCGAGCGCACGTGTCCTATAGCAAAAATCTCTAAAAAAAAAAAAGAAAAAAAAGAAAAAAATCTCCTACCTAAGCCACGAAGTCAGATAGTTTTATATGTGAATTCTACTAAATATTTAGGAAGAAAATATAAAAAAGAAAGCCCCCATTCATGAGAAGAGGCTAGAATGACCTCCATATGAAAAGTACACTAGAAAGTATCGTAAAAAAAATGTAGATGACTATTCCAGAGGCAAAACCAGAAGGGAGTAATCATTGACCAGTGGTGGACATAAAGGCACTGGGTCCGGTCCCGCATGGCCAGCTTCGTGCTTCCAGTCCTGTAGCTTGAAAATCCACGGGGTGTATATGCATGCATGCCCCAAATCCCGAGGAGTGTGAAGGAGAAGGGGTTGTACTGAGGAGGAGAAGGCTCACGGGGTGGGAGAGAATATTTGCAAGCTGTATTTCAGACAAGGGGTTACTAACCAGAATTTATAAGGAACAAAAAACGAACAAACAAACAAAAAAACAAACAAACCCACCTACTAAAAAAAAAATCTTATTCAATTAAAAAACGGGTAACTGATGCGAACACTTCTCAAAAGAATATTTTAAAACGACTGAAAAGCATATGAAAGAATTTTCCGCATCACTAATCATAAGGAAAATGCAAATCAGAATGATGATGAAGACAAGTTCCATAGCACAGTAGCTCAGAGCTGGATTCTACGTGCTGGCTGGAGTTCAAATCCCAGGCCTGCTGACTAGAACACTCTCAGCATGTGTGTGCACATTCTCAAAATTCTGACCAGAGAGAAATGGAGGGAAAGGGTTGCAGTACGACCACTCCCCATACTCCACTCGGGGTTCTCTTTCTGTGCTCTCTGGCAATAATAATGATGATGATAATAAGATCTTTAAAAAGCCCACGATGAGTTGTAACCTCACACCAGTCAGAATGGCTGTTATCAACAAAACAGTAACAGGTGTTGACGAGGCTGTGGAGAAAGAGCCCTTGTGCACTGCTGTGGGAGACCGCAGGTTTTCAGGATCTAAGACGAGAGCTACCTTTCAGCCCAGGAATCCGACTGACCACGTACTGTCAGGGTAGGGAATCAGGCTGTCAGAGAGGGATGCACGTCAGTGGTTTTGAAGTATTAGTCACAATAACCAAGACACGGAATCGACCTATGTGCCCGACCAGCAACCTGTTTTTTTAATGGGTATAGAAAATTTATTAATGCATGTGATGGAGCACTACTCAACTCAAAGAACAAAGAATTCCTGGGGTTTGAGGCAAAATGGGTGGACCCGGAAGACACCATGCTAAGTGAGATAAATCAGGCTGGGAAAGACAAACCCTGTGTCCCTCTTAATAACAGCATCCTCATTAGTGCAAGTTAAAAACGTGGTTAGTAAATACAGATGCTAGGTGTGAGTGGAGCGTGGGAGAAGGGGCAGAGGTGGGTAAAAGACAAGCGTGTGCCTCCACACGGAGTAGGTTTTGAAACTACACAGTAGTGAACGTCTTCAGCAAAGTGATGCGCTGAGAGAGCAGCTTTCGGACGAGCACAAAGTAGCTGTTGTTTTGAATGCTGGGGATGGCGAAGGTGCCTCTGTCCTCGATTTGAATACTGCGCACCATATGCATGCTCTGAAAACCTGTACCGTGCCTCACAAACAGAAAACAATTGTATATAAGCCAGAAATTACAAAAAAGGAAGCTGTTACAGTAATACTCATATTCTCCAAAAGAGAAGTTAAGGTAAAAAAAAGATTAGTAATGGGCCAGCCACTGGCATGGGTGGTTAAGGCAGCTGACTCCGCATGGCCGACTGCTTGGTTTGAGTCCTGGACCTGGCGGCAGCTTGAAAAAAACACCAGGCATGTGTGTGTGTGTCCAAAATCTGGAGAGGAGAGTGCGAGAGAAGAGATCGGGGCATGGCTACCCCGGGGGTAGTGTGGCGTGTACTGCCACACTGACAGAGCTGCCGAAGGTAGGGAGGGCGGGGAAGAGCTCTCGACTGTGAGACTGACCGTATGTAGAACTGTGCCCGCAGGTAGCAACTGGAATTTTGATTACGTGGGGCATAGAGAACACCCCAGAGACGGGCCACTTGCTAGCTCGCCTAGGAAGGAAATGCCTACCAATGTAGATAATTGCTACCTACAGAGCACGTTCTTGGCGCCACTGCAGTAAATGGTCTCATTAATGTCTTCCTCGTGTTTGTAAGTTAAAGGATTGGGTTAAAGAGGAAGTCACAGTGGACACTATAAACTATTTAAAGTCGTATCAAAACCTGTGGGGAGGGACCGACAGATGGTGTAGAGGTTATGTCCTGGACTCTCACATAGTCGACTGTGGTTCCAGTCCCGGACCCGGTGGCTTAAACTCACGCCAAGCTTGTGTGCGTGGATGCCCAAATCTTGAGAGGAGAATGGAGGAGACGGGGTTGTGGCATGGCCTACCCTCCCACAGGGGGTGATTTCTCACTTTCTGTCTCTCTGTCTCTCCAGCAAGTGCGCACATCCTATAGCAAAAATCTTTCTTAAAAACACAAACAAACAGAACTTTTGGGGTTAAATGGAAGCAATACTTAGAGGTAAATTTCTAATATTAAATGGAATTATCAAAATGCAAATAAGGGCTTATCTTAACATCTAAAAAACAACGATGAAAGCAGAAAATAATGCTGGGAGCAGACATTCGTGAATCAGAAAACTCGAATACCAGTGTAACAAAGCTTGTTCTTAAGAATGAAGCAGATAAGTTTTTGTTTGTTTGTTTTTTATATTTTTTCCATAGGGCATGTGTGCTCATGGGAGGCAGAGACAATGAGAAGGGAAGTGAAAGTCACCTCCCCAGGAGGTTGGCTGTCCTGCAGCCCCTTCTCCTCCACTCTTCTCTTGGGACTTTGCATGCAAACACATGCATACTGCAAGAGCTTCAAGCCATATGGGAATCCAGTGCCTTCAACTACCACACCACCTGCTGGCCCTAAAACAGATAGTCTTTTTAAAAAATTATTCAATTTTGTTAATATTTTTTAATTTGACCAGATGAGAGAGAGAGAGAGAAAGCAAGTCACCAGGTCCAAGATTTGAACTGCAGTCAGCCATGTGGGAGTCCTGTACCTTAACTAGCATGCTACTTGCTGGCCCTCTGAAGCAAATAGTCTTATATCAAGACTGATCAAGAAAAATACCTACACATACATTAAAAAAAAATCAGAGAATCATAACTATAGAAAAAGGTTTTTTTCTTTTTTAATTCTCAGTGACTATTATGCCAATGGATTTAAAAACTGAGATGAAACAATCATTTTACAGGAAAACATAAATTAAGTTGGGTCAAGAAGAATGAAGAAACCTCATAACTATTTAAGAAATTGAATCGGAGGACCAGCAGTTAGTGTAACGGCTATGTTGCTGGACTCCCATGTGGTTGACTGTGGTTGAAACACCCAGATAAACTCACACCGGGCGCATGTGCGTGTGTGCCCAGGATCCTGAGAGGAGAATGGAGGAGAAGGGATTACGGCGTGGCCACCCCCCCTGGGGGATGGTTTCTCTCTTTCTGTCTCACTCTCTCTGTCTCTCTCTGTCTTTCTGGCGAGTGCACGCACCCCACAGCAGAAACCTCGCCAAAAAAAAAAAAAGAAAAAAGAAATTGAATCGGTAGTCAAGACTATCTTCCTGTCTTTGCCCTCTGCCCCCAGACTGGTCAGATCCTGTGGGCTTGTACTGAGCCTTCGAAGAGCAGTTAGTAATTGTTGCGGACCATTCATGAGGCCGGTACGCCAGCAGCACTGAGCCCCTCAGGACAGTGGAGACTGGTGCCAGCTGCAGCCAGCCGGTCATGGTCTGTGCTGTTCCATCATGACCTTGAGCTGACTATTCCTGAGCACCGCAACACACTTACGATAATACTCCGTGAAAGTAGAAGAAAATAATCCAAATGAAATATGCAGAAGTCAAGGTCAACTTTGTCTAAAAAGTTTTACAGCTAGACTGTACATCCCAGTAATGTACTAATCTGTCAAAGCGATTACTTATTTCTGTGGGTTAGTAGGAAGACCCACCGTGTCTGGGCCAGCAGGTGCCGTGGTGGTTAAGGTAACGGAGCTCACGTGGCTGACTGTGGGTTGGACTCTGACCTAGTGACCTGAAACTCACACCAGGCACATGTGTGTGCATGCCCAAAATCCCAGAGGAGAATGGAGGAAAGGGATCCCAGTGTGGCCATCCCCCGGGGGAGGGGGATGATTTTTTCACTTTCCCTTGTCTCTCTGTCTCCCTGGTGAGCCCACCTGCCCTATGATAAAAAAACCTTAAAAAAAGAAAAAGTTGAGACCAGCAGTGGTATAAATGGTCAACTGTGATTCCAGTCCCAAACCCGGCAGCTTAAAACTCGCACTGGGCACGTGTGCGTGCGTGCCCAAAATTCCGAGATGAGAATGGAAGAGAAGGGGTTGAGGCTTGACCATCCTTCCTGGGGGGTGATTTCTCGCTTTCTCTCTCTGGTGAGTGCACATGCCCTAAACCAAAAATCTCTCTGTAAAAAAGAAGAAGCCATGTTAGCAGATGCAGAAAAATGACACATACCAACTTTTTTGTTTTTAGGTTTTTGCCATAGGATGCATGTACTTGATGGAGAAAGAGGCACTGAGAGGGAAAGTGAGACGTCACCCGGGGAGGCCACACTGCAATTCCTTTTCCATTCTGCTCTCTGGATCTTGGCACTCACACACCTAGCATGACTTTAATCTGCCAGGTCTGGGATTTGAACCGTGGTTAGTTACATGGATATCCAGCCACCTTAACTGCCACACTCCCTGCTGGCCCCCAAACATGTCAACTGTAAGTTGTGCTATTGAGCTGTCAGGAAAGTCATGCTGCATTTTTGCATAGATAAAATAACCCTGACTCTCCTGGAGACCTAGTATCATGCTAAATTGATAGAACTTAGCTTTTTCCTCTGCTAAAGAGTGTCTGCCAGAAACCTGTGGGCAGGGCAGCCGATACTGAATTTCCTTTCTGGGGGGATGAAGAGGCTCTGAAATGGTGCTGTCAGTGGCATGTACTTGTGACATGCCAAAATCTACTGAATCTACCCTTTAAATGAGTAAATTATATGACGTGTGAATTAAATTTCAGTAAGCTGGAGCTGGCAGATGGTGAAGGGTTATGTCACTGGACTCCCACGTGGTGGGCTGCGGTTCAAGTCCTGGACCTGGTTAGCTCGAGTGTGTGCGTGCATGCCCAAGATCCCAGGAAGAGGGTGAAGGGATTGCGGTGTGGCCAGACCGCAGGGTGATTTCTTACTTTCCCTCTCACTGTCTCTGTCTCTGTATCTCTCCTTCTCTGGTAAGAGCATGTGCCCTAAAGGCAAACACCTCTTTAAAAATAAAAAGCTGGGAACCAGCAGTTAGCGTAATGGCTGTGTCGCTGGACTCCCACGTAGTCGACCGCGGTTTGTGTACCGGACCCGGTGGCTTAAAACTCACGCCGGACGCGTGTGCGTGCGTGCCCAGGATCCCGAGAGGAGAATGGAGGAGAAGGGATTGCGGCGTGACCATCCCCCCTGGGGGGTGATTTCTCGCTTTCTGTCTCTATGTCTCTCTCTGTCTGTCTGGTGAGCGCACGCGCCCTACAGTAAAAATCTCTCCAAAAAAAAAAAAAAAGTTGTAATTTAAGACACTCTAACAAGCATATCATAGAAAATAGTACAAGGTTATAACCATTGGGGCCAGCAGGTGGCATGGTGGTCAAAGCACTGGACCCCACACGGCCGATTACGCAGTTCGACCCCCAGACTCAGCAACTTGAGAAGGGTGCTGGGCATGTGTACAAGCATGTCCAGAATTCTAAGAGGAGAGTGGAGAGGTTTTGATGTGGTCACCCCATTCCCCCGGTGAGTGATTTCTCACCTTCTCCCCGTCTCTGGTGAGCAAAGGTGCCTATAAAAAAAAAAAAAATTAGATCGCTGTCCCCACACCACACAGGACTCCAGTTACCAGGGAGCCTAAATGTGGAAAATCAGGTTTTAAAATGATTCAGAGAAAACATAGGGCATCTTTATGGCCTCGGGTTGGAGAGGAATTCTTAAATAAGGGGCAAAAAACAGAAACCCTAAAGGAAAACACCTATACGCTGGAATACGATAAGCTTTACAATATGAAAATACTAGAAGAGCAAAGAGAAGGCTATAGATCTCTCAGATACTGCAGAGAGGGCTAAGGTGTACAAGATGCAATAGGTTTTTTTTTCTTTTTTTGGAGAGGTTTTTGCTATAGGGTGCGTGCGCTCGCCAGAAAGAGAGAGACAGAGAGACAGAAAGCGAGAAATCACCCTCCAGGGGGATGGCCACACTGCAGTCCCTTCTCCTCCATTCTCCTCTCGGGATCTTGGGCATGCACGCACATGCACCCGGCGTGAGTTTAAGCCACCGGGTCTGGGACTCGAACCATGGTCGACTACATGGGAGTCCAGCGACATAGCCATTTCTTCAGCTGCTGGTCCCAAGATGCAGTAGGTTTTGCAGACAGGGCTGGGGTACAAGAGACAGGAGGTACTGGGGCAGGGCTGGGGTACGAGTTACACAGAGGTCTCACACATCAGGGAAAACTTGGGTCATCAATATGGCCAAGGGGTGGGATGAGGGAGCGTCTTCCTCTGCAGACACCAGGGCAGCAGGCCTGTCTGACCTCACTCTGGCCCTTTTGACTCTCGTCTGAAGTAGTGATGGGTGTGAGGTGCCCAGTGTGGTGTGAGGGCAAGCCACCCCACACCTCTGGTGAGGAGAGGGGAGCCACCCAGGGGAGCAGCTGCCTCCTGGAGTTCCGTGTGTGCGCCAGGAGACAGCAGGTGGACACCCTGTCTGGACGGAAAGGGGAGCAGATGCTGCCGCGGTTACTCCAGGGCAGAGCAGGCGTGTGCGGAGACTTCAGCGCTGGGCTGAGGAGAGCAGCACGTCGAACAGCACGTGCCCTGTGCATGTTTGGTGCAGGGGTGTCTGCAGGGGGTGCAGGCGACCGGAATGCCTGGCTGCAGCCCTGACCGTTTAGGGCTGCCCGTAGGGAGTGGCTGTGGCAGCAGGGCCAGTGCACAGCGACACAGGTCGGCTCTTTGCCTTCTGGGGTGGACGCGGGGTGGTTGTTAGTCTCTCCGCTAGTATTTAGGAGAAGCGTGATTTACGGACAGTCCAGCCTCGCAGAGCGGAGGCCTTCTCCCATCTCATGTCCTTGGGCGTGCAGCCCCTTTACCTCAGCTCCCCAACTGCCCCTCCCTGCGCCCACCTGCCTCGCCCTCACTTGGGCTCCTTCCTGTGTCTGGTGGGCGGCCGGGGCAAGCTGTCCTTTAGGACCTGGGCTCACTCAGCGGCCGTGTGCCAGATGTCCTGAGGGCACCTGGGCTGCCCAGACCTTCGAAAGCACCATTGTCTCAAGATCTGCACGCGTGTGTGGATGGGGTGTGCCCAGGGCTTCTGGGGTGTGCTTGTGCCCTGCCTTGCCCCAGCACGCGTATGCATGTGAGCCATTTGTGGGGAGGAGCAACTGGCGTGCCTTGACCCCCTCTCCCGGCAGATCCTGACAGGAGAGGACTGGAACGCGGTCATGTACCACGGGATCGAGTCGCAAGGTGGCGTCAGCAAAGGCATGTTCTCGTCCTTCTACTTCATCGTCTTGACGCTGTTTGGAAACTGTATCCTCCCATGGGCTCGGGCCTGGGTGGCCAGTGGCAGCTCTTTCCTGATGGCCATGCCTGGCTCCCTCCAGGAGGGTGTGTGGCCAGGCAGCGGATGGGGTTCAGGCTGAGGAAGCGTGAGCTGCATTTGGGGTACCTGGTGGTGGGGTAGACTGTGGTCCGGAGGGGCAGCAAGGCGCTGAGCAGGCTTGGAGCCTTGTGGGAAGGTGGGGGCCAAGGCCAGGCTGCAGGTTTCCCTCTCTCCGATTTGGCTGAGAGCGAGCTTTGGCACTGAGTGTTAGGAAGAACCCAATAAACAAGTAAAGCAAAACAGCCCTCCCCTGCTGGAACAGCCCTCGTAGAGGAGCTCCCTCAGCTTCCTGCTGCCTGGAGGTGAGCTCTGCAAGGGTGGGGCCCCAGGACTTCCTGTCGGAACAGGAAGGGAGCGTGCGGGCCCACATGTGCTGCCCTGGCTGGGAGCGTTCACGGGCAGCCTGAGGTGGCTCTGCACACAGGGCCCTTATGGAGCCTGTGGAAGCAGGAGACGTTGGTCAGGAGGGTTAGTTTGCTGGCCAGAAATGGAGACGTGTGAACGTGTGCAGGGCGTTGGCCCAGCACAGCCTCCGAGCTCTGCTCTGGAAAGTGAGCCCGAGTGCTGGCTCCTGGGCTTCGAGGGAGGCCAGTCACAGGGGTCGAGTCCTGGAGGGACCGGGCGGGGGCACTGGTGTCTGGGCTCCGGGCCTAGGGATGTGGGGGCCTGAGGGGAGAAGGTGGAGGCTGGTGGGATCTGGGGGTGGTGGACGGGCAGCAGGCTCCACCCTTAGCTGGACCCCAGACACTCTGCTGAATGTCTTTCTGGCCATTGCTGTGGACAACCTCGCCAACGCCCAGGAACTGACCAAGGTAGGCGGGCACCGTCGGACCTACGAGCAGGGAGGGGCCAAGTCAGTCCCCAGTGCTCCGGACGGGGCTGTGGAGTTGCTCACAGGCTCAGGCACCAGGCGCGTGTACCGTGTGACCACTGGCCATGGGCGTCTCCTCAGGGTCCTGGACAGAGGGGTCGGCCACAGCAGGGCAGCGCTTCCCTGGGCAGTGCCCGGCATGTGCTGCTCAGCACTCACCCTGTCCCTGCCCCGGCTCGGGGACAGTTACAGGCGTCTCCCCACAGTAACAGGCCACACCTGGCTTGCCTCCTGCAGCCCTGGACGCTCAGGCTGCGCCCTCGCAGCCTCCGCTGCCTGTCAGCCCAGCGCTGCCCAGGCAGGGGGCGCCGCCTTGTCCAGCACAGCACGCTGGGAGTGTCCCGTGCCGTGCTCTGCCAGGCGTGTTGGTGCATGCAGTCTTATGTGTGGCTGTGCATGCCCCTGTCCCTGAGCAGGGTCTGCACGCTGCACCCGTGCACGCCCCTGAGCCTGCTCAACCCCTCCCCTGCTCCGGACTGAGGGAGACGGTTTCAGGGTGCCCACTGCAGGCGGCGGAGGACTCCCACAAACCTGTTTGTTTTTCGAAGTGGGAATCAATTCAACCTGAATGTGGCCTTTCGAACAGTGGTCCCCACCCTTCCCCGTGCCAGGGAAGGCCTTGTGGGAGACAGTCCTCCATGGATTGGGGTGGGTGTGGCTGTTCCTGGAGTGGCCCAGGTGCCCCACCTCTACCATATACCCGTGACCACCATTAGCACGCTGCGACATGCAATGAGCCCGTCACGTAACAATGGGGTTCAAGCTCCAGGCCAGGCCAGGACAACTGCTGCCCCAACGGGGGAACCCGGCATGTGAGACATGGCCTTGCTCCCTACCCTGCCCCCACCCCTGCCCCATGTGGCCTGGTGGCCTGGTCCCTAACAGGCCCCACACTGGCACTGTTCCACAGCCAGGGTTTGGGGACCCCTCTTTTAGAGAACTCCCTGGAGCTCCAAAGCCGCTGCTGCCAGGTCTGCAGAGCTGGTGGCCAGGTCTCAGGGAGGACCGAGCAGGCTGCCGTGGTGGATCTTGGCGCTGTCCTGGTGGTGGAGGGACTTGCAGGAGGGTTCGTTTTTTGCCCCTTTGTGCTCCTGACAGCATACCCAAGAGCCTTTGGGGACTGTGGGAATGCCTGACCCGAGCAGAGCCAGTAGGCTGGGCTTGAGGAGTGGCTCCGGAGTCAGAGGGACAGTGCGAAGGTCTTAGTTCCTTTGGTTCTGCTGCCCGTGGCCTCGCCTGTCACCTGGAGCTGTCACCCAGGACCCGGGAGGGGAGTGTGTTGGCTTTACTCAGTGACGCAGGGTCCTGGCGTCCATCCCCTCCTATTGGTGTCTGCACACACGTGGATGTGCCAGAGTAGTGGAGCCCACGACCGGGCATTCACAGCGTCCATCCAGGTGCAGGAGACCGGCCAGGGCTTCTTATAGCCTCAGGAGGAGCTGGGTACAGGTGCCATCTGCTGGTCCAGAAGGGAAAGTGTGAAGGTGGCATGTGGCCCTGCTGACCGCAGCCCTGGCCAGGACGCAGTCCTGCGCAGTCCATCCTGTGCCCTTTCATGACCTCGGGAGAGTCTGGCTTTGTTCAGGTGTGATGGGTGCTCCTGCAAGGGCCGGTGGGACGTAAGGAAGAACAGGTTTGTGTCTTGTTGGCCAAGTCCAAGGGTCTATGGCACAACCAGCAGCAGTGCCCGTCAGCAGCAGGGCACCAGGGGTGGTTCGGGGTGCAGGCACGTATGTGGGGCCAGAGAGCAACCCTGGGTGTCACCTCTGAGCCAGCACCTCAGACGGAGAGGCCCTTTAGGGACCAGAGAGCTGGTGTGGGCTGGGCTCTCAGAGCTGGGTCAGTGTGGACCTCCTGGTACCAAGAGCAGGAGGGACACACAGGCTCTGGGGAGCCACGGCATTCCAAGGGGGACCTGGACATGCCTGTGTGCCCAACAGGATGAAGAAGAGATGGAAGAAGCGGCCAATCAGAAGCTGGCTCTGCAGAAGGCCAAGGAAGTGGCGGAAGTCAGCCCCATGTCTGCCGCGAACATCTCCATTGCTGCGTAAGGGTCCTGGAAGAGGGCCATGGGTGCCGTGGGGCTGGGCCCAGGGCACCCTTTGCCGGAGTCTTCCTGGGGGCAGCTCACCATGGCGAGGCTTGCAAGGTCACAGGCCTCGACGTGGCTTCCTGCTGGCCATTGCCAGGTGGGGTGCAGTCAGTCAGGTGAGCCCTCACACTGTGGGCAGGACCAGACCCAGTGTTTACTCCTGGGCAGGCCAGGGAGGCTCCAGGCCGTCCTCGGTCATGGCATGGGGTGAGGAGCCAACATACTGATTTTTAAAGAGCATTTTTGCTGAGAGTGTGCTCGCCCAGGAGAGAGGGAGGAGTGAGAGCGAGGCTGTGGAGCAAGCCCTCCCCATGGGGGATGGTCAGGCTGCAATCCTGTCTACTTTCCACCAAGTCTGAGACTTGAACCTGGTGTCAGTTGTGTGGGATCCAGCACCCTAACCCCCCGCCCCACCTGTTGGCTCCCAACATGTTGATTTTATGCACAGCTTTCTAGGAATGGGTTATGTGAGCTAAGAAATCTGAATGTCCCTTGGCAGCCCAGGAGACTCAGCGCCGTTCCCAATTGCATCTGCGCGTTTGGGCTGGGACAGGCGAGAACGGGCATGGCGGGGCCATTTCTGTGGGGAAAACACAGGCCCCTGGGCTTGGAGGAGCCTTGGGCACAGGGCAGAGCCCTTGGCCTGGTCCTGGTGGACACAAACAGTGTCTCCTGGGAGTTTACTCCTGGGCCAGGCCACTCGGGGCTGCTGGCTGTGTCCCTGGCCAGCCTCCCCCTCTGAGCGCTGTCACCACACACTGGGGACAGCCATGGGCATGTATGTGATGACATATATGTCTGCACTACTGAGCACATATGTTAGCATGTGGATGAGTGTGCCAGGCATGTAATGAGAGACTATGATTGGTGCGTGCATGTGTACTTGTGAGTGTGCACACACATATGTGCTATGTAAGTGTGCATGTATGGGTGTGCTATGTGAGCATGTGTGTGCACGTGCTATGTGGGTATGTTTGTGTGCACGTGTTATAGTGTATGCTATGGCACGTGTGTGCTTTGTGAATATGTGTGCTATGTGAGTGTGTTTGTGTGCATGTTAGTATGTGCTGTCTGAGCATGTGTGTGCATGTGCTACATTAGTGTGTGCATGTGTTAGAGTGCTGTGAGCATGTGTATGTGCTGCATTAGTGTGCCCATATTAGAGTGCTGTGAGCATGTATGTGCATGTGCTATGCGAATATGTGTGCTATGTGAGCATGTTTGTGTGCATGTTAGTGTGTGCTGTATGAGCATGTGTGTGTGCTACATCAGTGTGTGCACATGTTAGAGTGCCATGAGCGTGTGCATGTGCTATGTGAATATGTGTGCTATGTGAGTGTGTATGTGTGTTAGAATGTGCTGTGTGAACATGTGTGTGTGTGCTACGTGAGTGCACGTGTTAGAGTGCTGTGGGCACGCTTGTGCTATGTGAATATGTGTGCTATGTGATTGTGCACGTGATAGAGTGCCATGTGTGTGTTACGTGAATATGTGTGCTACGCGAGTGTGTTAGAGTGTGCTATGTGAATATGTGTGCATGTGCTACGTGATTGTGCATGTGTTAGAGTGCTGTGAGTGTGTGTGTGCTATGTGAATATGTGTGCTACGTGAGTGTGTGTTAGTGTGCTATGTGAGTGCACATGTCAGAGTGCTGTGGGCACGCATGTGCTATGCGAATATGTGTGCATGTGCTGTGTGTGTACACGTGTTAGGGCATGCCATGTGAGTGTGTTAGAGTGTGTGCCTTATGAGCATGTGTGTGTGTGTTGCGTGAATGTGTGCACGTGAGTGCCCATAGTGGCCTGGTCCTGCCTGGAGCTTACCAGGGAGCTGGTGTTTGCAGAGGGCTTGTCTCTGAGCCGAGTAGGACATGCCAGACTTTGGAGGAGAAGCAGCCAGAGAGGTCGCAGCCCAGGGGCCCTGGGTGGGGTGGGGGCTGCAGGAGAGCGCAGGCCGGACAGGGCTCTGCAGCCGTCGGTGTTGCTGCTGTGTGATTTTGCGTCTGGACAGTCCAGTGACCCACCCTTTGGTTCTGCAGTCTGGTGATCTGGTCACTGGTCCCAGGTTGCTGTGGGAGGGGGCCTGGGCAGAGAGCGAGGCTGCCATGCAGCTTCACGTGGGCTCAGTGTTCCTGCCTAGCCTCGGTGTCCTCTGAATCCTGGAGGTGAGCATTCACCCTTGGTCCCTGCTTCTGCCTGGCTGTCTCTTCCTCGAGGGTGTGAGAGGCCTGAGCCGGGCACAGCCGCCTTGGCGGGTGCTGGGGAGGCCCGTTTCTCCTGAGCCTGTCAGTGCCCTCTGCCCTGGCTGGGGCCTAGATCCGTCCTGCTGGAGAAGGGCTGTGTCCGATATTGGCCTCCGTCGGCTGTGGTCCTGCAGGCTCGGCCTGCAAGGGGGCTTCAGGCCTTTGTCCTCTGTGTGTCTTCAGCACATTTCTGTCAGACGTGGAGGTCACAAGAGACCCTGTGAGTCCTGGGGAGGGGAGGAGGATGCCACCCCACGCCAGGCTGGTCTGCCCTGGTGTGGGTGGGTGCTCCTGGGCAGCTGCTGTTTCTCATCTGTGTCACCGGAGCTGGCCCTGTCCTCTGTCTCTGTCTCATTCCCCCTCCCCTCACTGTTCCCTGTCCTCCGGGTAGGAGGGCAGTGCCTGCCCTTTCCCTGAGGCCTGAGCTGCTGAGCCAGCCTCCATGGCCCCTTGCCCTGTCCCGATCCCCACAGCTATGTGGGGCTTTGCAGAATGGAGCAGGCGGGACGTGCCATGTGGTGCTCAGGAGTGAGAGGACCTGTGTCCCATGTCCAAGAGCTGCCGGCGGTCCCCGCTCAGAGGGTACTGCGTGTCCTTAGGAGTCTGTGGGACACTGAGTGTCCTGGGCCTTGGGTTCCCTCCTGCTGCTGTGTAGCCCTCCTTCGACTCCAACTGGTATAGGCACTCATGCTCACACTCAGACTCATGCTCTCGCACACGCATGCCCTGTGCACTGGGCTGTGGCGGATGAGCTGCTGTGAGCTCTCACACGGGTTTCCAAGGCCTTAGCCCTGAGGAGGAGCTGACATGGCAGGGGACGTGAAGGGAGCTGGCTGTGGAGAGAACTTTGATTTCTTTCTTTGGCTTTGGAAAGGCTTCCAGACAGACACGGGGGACGACTGGGGTCGTCATTAAGAATGGTGTGCCCATCATTCTTAAGAGGTGTTGAGTGTGAAGCCCTGGGATTGGAGCTTGGGGAGCCAGGGTGGGGCTGGGCAGAGCGGGTGCCCCAGGAAGGCAGTGGGTCTGGCGGGACCACAGGTAAGGGCACCCTGCCCCTGTTCCCAGCTCTGCCCACCTGGAAGGCTAGGAGCCGCATGGCCAGCCTACCTAGACCTATGGTGGGGGTCTGGCAGGCTGTAGGGAGGTGGAGCCAGCATGTTCGACCAGGAGGGCAGCAGGTCTGTGCGCTGTGCGCTGTGCGCTGCTGCGGCCCCGAGCCCCGTCTTCTGCACTCACAGAGCTGGTTCTCAGCTTCCACCTTGAGGCCTTGGCCAGTGCCCATCTGGCCAGAGTGTCCCTGGCCTGCAGCCCAGAGGCACACGGCAGCCCACGCCCGTGCCCGCACTGACACAGCCCACGTGTCTCTGGTGTCTTCGAGAACTTTCTGGTTTCTCACTTCTGTTTTGTCTTGTTTCTTGCATGTGCAGTTTTGTAAAGCAAACTCGAGGTACTGTATCTCGCAGCTCATCTGTCTCCAGCGTAAACTCACCGTGAGTTGCTCTGCTACAATATACCCACCCATGGCTTCATGACGGCTACATGCGAATACCTCCCCTCCACTCCACTGCTTTCCCTCGAGTCATTCCCATCCTGGGGCAGTCCCAGGCAAACCTCCTGGGCCTGGACCAGGAATGGGGGCTCGCTTCTGACACCCCATCCTTCTCGCAGGCCTGGACTGCTCTGAGCTCAGCCCCCCTCCTCACTCCTGGTGTGTCGTCTGTTGTGCGTCCACGTGTGGTCACTCTGGTGTCTCAGTGTGTCTGCTTCTGAGTGGACTGGGCGCTGCAGTTCCTGTGAAGCCAGGGCCTGTGAGCAGGGATGGCAGGGGCCATCCCGCCTGGGAGGGAATGTGCTTATCATTCTTAAGAAGAACTTTTTATTTTAGAATAATTATTTATTTAATTTTATTATCATCATTATTATTTTTAAATTTGCTATAGGGTATGTGAGCTCATTAGAGAGAGGGGGAACATGAGAAAGCAAGCCACAGGGCCCAGAACCCAAACGCGGTCAGCCATGTGGGAGCCTGGTGCCTTAACCTCTATACTATTTGCTGGCCTCCAATGTTTTCTTCTTTAAATTTTTATTAATTAACAGAGAGAGAGAGAAAGCACACCACAATCTTTTCTCTTCCCTTTCTCCGTTCCATCAGGATTTGGAGCACACACACCTGCCTGGCGTGTTTTTTAAGCCACCAGGGCTGAGATCTGAACCGTGGTGGGCTGTATGGGATCAAGCTCCCCATGCACGAGGCTCATCCACTGTGCTGGCGGCAACTCCACTCTGAGAGCAGGCCTGCCCTCAGTTGCAGTGGGTGGTAGAGGAGACAGAGCCCAAGGCAGAGTCCAGGGTGGGCCCCCGCGTGAGCTGGCCAGGCCTGCCTCGGTTCTTCTCAGGCAGCCCCTCCCAGGAGCTGCTGGTCTCCGTGGGATTCCTCTCCAGCTGCCCTCTGCCCCTAGTGATGGTGAGGGTGCCATGGCCCTGCCCCATCCCCCCACCCGCCGCAGCCAGCATGGTGCTGGGCTGTCTTCCCACCGGCTCTGATGCCTCCGAAGTGTGCTGGATCCCATGTGACTAATGCCTACAGTGGCCTGAGACACAGGAACGAGCCCTGGTGGGGTCACACCCAGGCTGCTTCGTGTCTAAGCAGTGATGGGGCCATTGCTGCCCCAAGTCCCCACGGCCTCTTTCTGAGTCTTGCTGTCGTCCCAGCGCCTGGGCTGAGGGGCTGGGCCATCTTCGCTGGCCCCGCTGGGTGGTGCCTACAAGCCCGGCTGTGATGCCTCAGAGCCATGTGGTCTCTTAAGAGCCCTTGAGGTAGGGTGGTGCTGGATGGAGGCTGCCTGCACCCTGTGCTAAGGTTGGGGACCGCCAACCCATGCTCTCAGGAGGGCGAGCTGCTTGTGAGTGTGGTGGGGAGGATGCGGGGAGAGCCCAGCCTGGCCACGGGCGCAGGGCCCTGTAAGTCTACTCGGACTCCAGCAAGAAGAGAGTTGGAGACTTGGGGGTGCATCCAGGGAGGAAGCCAGGGTCCTGGTGGAGTGGCGGCAGGCACCCCTCTCTGGGGAGTTTAGGGCCTGGTGGAGCACTTGGCGCAGGCATGGGTTGGCCCCTGTACAGGCTGCCGTGCCCTGCCCTGCCTGGTGGTCTGCAGGGAGCCTGCCTGTCCAGTCACCCCCTTGGGTCTGGAGGACAGCCTGCCGCTGTGTGGTTGAGGTGGATCTGGGGAGGAAGAGCTGCACCTGAGGGCCTGTGGAGGGCTGTGCAGCCTTTGCCCGTCTACACTGCATGCCCGTCCACACCGCACACATCCTAGGGCCTATGGAGAGCTGTGCAGCTCATCCCCGTCCGCACCACACACCCGTCCACACTGCATGCATCCCAGGGTCTGTGGAGGGCTGTGCAGCCCATCCCTACCCACACTGCACACCTGTCTACACCGCACACACCCGAGGGCCTGTGGAGAGCTATGCAGCCCGTCCCTACCCACACCGCATGCCTGTCCACACTGCATGTATCCTAGGGCCTGTGGAGAGCTGTGCAGCCCATGCCCGTCCACACTGCACGCGTTCCAGGGTCGGTGGAAGGCCGTGCAGCCCATCTCTGTCCATACTGCAGGCCCGTCCACGCCGCACGCACCCGAGGGCCTGTGGAGGGCTGTACAGCCCTCGTCTGTCCACGCTGCACGCCCATCTACATTGCATGCCCATCCATGCTGCCCGCCCGTCCACGCTGCATACCCGTCCACGCTGCACACATTGGCCCTGGCCACAGTTGCAGTGCCCCCATTGTCCACGCTGATGGGAGCCATGTTGCCGGGCTTCAGGACTCGCTCACCTGAGTGGGCCCACTCCCTGCTGCCCTGTGGTGGACTCTGGACCTATGGAGAGGCCTGGGCAGCCACGGGCCGCCAGCCCTCAGGCCTCCTGTGCTGGGGGCACTCCTGTCTTCCATCTTGCTCTTCAGCATTGTTGAGATCTGGACCTTGTTTTCGTCCCTGCTGGGAGTGGGCAGGGCCCCATGAGTCTGTGGCAGACATCCCTTGGGGGTGGGCACAGCATGGCTTCGATGCATCAGAGGGTCAGGGCCTGGCGTGGCAGTGAGGCCACAGCCAGCAGATGGCCCCTATATTGCCTGGCTGTCTGCCCTGGTCCCGGGCACAGGCCTCACACTCCTGCTTCCACACTTGCGAGGTGCGACCTGGGTGGTGGCCCCCACAGGAGCCTGGACCTGCACAGAGGGACCGGGTTCGTACTCGCACCACCTTGGGAGGACTGACTGCAGGGGCAGGACTTCCCCACGCTCGGCCGTCTGCCTCCGCAGGTTGGCCCAGCCTGGAGCTGGTGGCCGGCCTGGGCCCGAGGCCTGGGCAAGCTGCAGCTGCACCCCTCGTGTGGCCATGCGTCTTCCTGGAGCTGCACACGTGCTCCTGGCCCGCACGCATCAGATCCTGGCTCCCGCAGTGGAAAGTCATGATGCTCTCTAGTCTCCGTATCTTCAGCTGAATGGGGACAAGAGTAGCACCTGGTTCTCACGGTGGTTTGAAGGCTGGATGAGGTGGGCTCTGAGCCAAGCTCCATCAGCAGGGGTGAGGGGAGACGCCATGGCCATTGCCAGGGTTATCAAGACCACAGAGGTGGAAGTGCGGGCTGGCCTCGGAAGAGGCTTCTGCTTGGGGAAGGTGGGGCTCGGGTTGCCTGCTCTGGCAGATCCCGCAGAGAGCCCAGAATGCAAAGGGCTTCCCACACACGGGCGGTGGGGCCCCAGGTGTGGCGTGTGAGTAAAGGAGGTTCCTGGGTCCATGGACCAGGGGTGGGCCAAGGCCTTTGGTGGTCTATGCAGTGCAAGGAGCCTGGACCACTGGCCACCCAGGGAAAGGCTCTGCTGGAAGGCTCTGCTCCCAGGGGAGGAGGGGGATCCAGGGGGTCAGGAGAGAACATTGTTTAGCGTGGAGAGGGGTACTGCCAGCCCAGACCTGCCGGGATTCCTGCTCCTTGGGCCAGATGGTAGCTGCCTAGCCAGGACCTTGTGTTCAGGAGTGGGTGAGGCTCTGCTCCCTCCTGGAAGGGCTGGATGCCCCTTGGCCACTGCTCTGTCAGCACCTGTTCTTGGGCTGTCTTGCAGACAGCCTTCTGTAGCTGGTGGCTGTCCCCCTGGGAGGAGGTGCTGCACCACGTGTCGGCCCTGGGTCGCTCTGCGCAGGCTGGGGCAGGCCCTGTTCCCAAGGGAGGCTGCAGGGTGCTCCTGGACTCCCACTTCTCCATCAGCCCTGCCCTCTCCTCTCCCAACTCTGGCCTTCCTGGCCTTGCCCTGGTGCCCGGCTCCCACAGCCCTTCACCCTTGGCCTCAGGCCATCCTGCCCCTGCTGGAGAGTGGCCTGGAGCCCCTCTGTCTTCCTGACTGTGGGGTGCTGAGCGTGCCCCCCAGGTATTCTCACCAGAGCTTGGCATCATCTTGAAGGGCTCGAGTGCTCCGCAGCACCCCTAGCCCTCCCGTACCCCTCCATCGCCTGTCTCCATCCGGCTTCCCTGGAGGTACACAGGTGGGCAGGTGCGCCCAGGGGCTCACTCCAGTCTCTCTACAGCAGGCAGCAGAACTCAGCCAAGGCGCGCTCGGTGTGGGAGCAGCGGGCCAGTCAGTTGCGGCTGCAGAACCTCCGGGCCAGCTGCGAGGCGCTGTACAGTGAGATGGACCCCGAGGAGAGGCTGCACTACGCTACCTCGCGCCACCTGCGGCCGGACATGAAGACGCACTTGGACCGGCCCCTGGAGGTGGAGCCGGGTCGGGATGGCCCACGGGCTTCCACGGGGCCCAAGGCCCGGTCTGAGGGCGTGGAGGCCACTGAGGGCGGGGACCCGCCACGTAGGCACCACCGGCACCGCGACAAGGACAGGGCTCTGTCCACAGCCCCCCCGGCAGGGGACCAGGATGGCGCAGACGCCCCGAAGGCAGAGAGTGGAGGGCAGGTGGCCCGGGAGGAGCGGGCGCGACCACGCCGCAGCTGCAGCAAGGAGGACGCGGGCCCCCGGGGGGTGCGAGGCGGGCGCGGCCGG